CTCACGTAGCTTGCCAGAATGGGTTTGATTCAACGGCATCCCAGAAATTCCCTCTTCTGATCCTTCTGACTACTTGATTTTCAGGAGAGTTCCTAGATGATGCTGTTGAAGTATGGAAGACCTTAGTTGTACATTTTTTTTCTTAGGAAGAAAAAATTAGTTCCTTCTATATTTATGCTATACTTTAGTAATCAGTCAGCTCCCACATATTTCCAAGCTGTGTACTTCTAAAGACAACTTTTCCTGCCTTCAAACATGGTGTCAATGCAAAGAATTGAGACCGTTACCTGAGTGGATAGTTTTCAGCAGCAGCAATGTCATCAGACACTTGGAAGATAGCTGTGCTGGGCAGGAAAAAACGAGTATATAGGAGGGTGTCCTGGGTCCCCAGATACACATTGCCACCCACTTAAGACACACCCTAAGCATATGCACACAAGCATACAAAAGGCATCGCTAGACGGGCAAAGATAGATTCACTCTAAGACACACACCACACGTTCAGTGAACAAAGCTCTAGAAAGAAGAGGGGAGAGAGAATGAGGAAGTGGGAATATATGAACAGGCAGGTTTCATCAATTTGAAAGGACAGTGCAATGCTTTGATTTCATTCGAACTTAAATGCATTGAACTGAATTCGTTGGAGAGGAGATGGTGAAAGTGACAGTGCTAGACCAAGGCGGCTAAAATTTGGGAGACCAAAACAGAGAGACCAAAAGGAGAAATCTGGGGAGCTCGAATAGGCCCCTATTTACTCAGGTAAGTTCACCAATAATCAGTTCAATCTCCATGACTGCAGAGACCATCAGGAGAAGAGGTGATCCGACTTTTTAAAAAATGTGAGCGCTTCCAGAAGTGTCCGGCGCGCACAGTAAGAGCCCCCAAACTGGTGCTGAATGCAATCGGGCACCGGTCCCAGATCTAAGGTGCTAGCGAGTTACAGACAGCAAGCCTGTTAAAAACCACAGGCAGAGCCTGAAAATCCTCGCCAACTTTCAGCTGTTGTATTGCATGGCATGATTTTAGCTTTTAAAGGTGAGAACTTCTTCGAGAAACTGTCAGCAAAACCTACACGAAGAGCTGTATCTCCGAAGGAAGGAGATTTTTGTCTGTCGTGCACTGTTTCTGGCACCGCGTCATCGCGGCACTCCGCACGAGGAGTCCCGAAGCTCCAGCCGCTGCCGCGTAGCGGGCGTGCGCTCCTGGGTTCTCCACCCCAACTCCCACTCGGCACTCGGTGCTGAATTTTCCGAATCCCGGGAAGGGCGCTTTTGACAGAATCCGGAACCCGCTGCAGAAGTAGGCGCGCCGGGGAGCGCACATCTTGGTTCCACCAGCGCCCAGCGGCGCGCCATCAACCTCGGGTAGTACATTCCCGAGGCGCAGGGCATGGCTGGGCTCGTGGCTCCAGTCTGGATGACCGTCGGGGTCTTGACGGGCGCGGAGGCGCCGGCGGGCGCTCCTGGGGCTGCCCGCGCACTGAGCAGAGCCGGCGGTCCCGGGTTCCTGGGGCGCACTCCACTCGCCCGGCGGGCGCGCAATTGCGCGCGGAACTGCGCCGGCTTTCCGGATCCCTGCTGAACTTCCGCGCCGAGAACACTTTCCCTGAGGGCTTTCAAAGGCCACCGATGCCGGTTTTCCGCAGGAGGGGGGCGCACCCAGCCCAAGAGCGGAGGGAGGCTGTTGGCCCCACCGGAGAGGCGGGTACCTGGGCCACCTCTGAAGTTCTGGGAGCGGAGATCACCAGGGCGGCAGAAAGAAGCCCTTCTCAAGGCCCCGCTGGCTGGTTTTGATTTTTGTTTTGTTTTTCTTTTTCCGAGCTCCAGGAAGGTCTCGTCTTTACCGGCCTCCTCACTCCAGAGACGAGGCTCTGCGTTATCTTGGGCTCGGGCCTCCAAGTGCCCGGGCCCCTCCGGCCCACAGTTCGCCTCCACAAGGGTGGCCACGCAGAGCTGGAGATTCACGCGCTGAGCCCCACGCGGGTCGCCTTATGGGGCCTGACGTAGCCTCTGTGGCCAGAGGGGTCGGGACAGAACCGTCGGCTCCGTTTCCGCCGCTCAGGTGCAGCCCCAAGTGGCGCTTCGGACCCGGGCGTTCGCCCCTCTTTCGTCTTCTCTCGCAGGCGCGTCTGGCCCGCGGGGCTGCGCTCTTCGCGGCCTCCCTGGAAGGCTGGCCTCTACCCGCACCATCACGTCGTCTCCGCCGCTGCCACTACGCGCACTCCCGCCACGTGCGCTGGCGACGAGGAGCGGGTAATAAACACTCCAGAGACATTGTCTCGTTTTATCCCGTTATGAGCCCATTTAAAGGAAGAGGAAGCGATTGGCTCAAAGTCACGCCGAATTTTATTTCCCGGAATTCCAGCCGAGGGCGCGGGGACTTGACAGCCCCGAGTTCTTCTCCGAGGGCCGGCGGGTCTCCGAGTGGCGGCGAGCGGCCGAGTTGCGCTTTGAGCGAAGCTCAGGGATCCCGCGCCCGCCCGGGACAGGTGGAGGCCGGGCACGCCAGGCCCCAAGGCAGCACCTGCGCCACCGGCCGCGCAAGCCCGCCCTGCGTGGCCCACGCCGCTCGGAGAGGCCCTGGTGCGGTCAGGGCAGCGCGCCACGTCGGGACCGGAGCCTCGGAGCCGAGGCGGGTTTGCTCGGGAGCCCCGGAACCACCCGTGACCTCTGTCTAAACCCTTTACGCGCATTCTTTGGTTTAAATCTCACAACTTTGTGATGGAGTATTCACTTCCACTTTACAGATGGGGGCATTGAGGCACAGAGAAGTTGAATTATGTTTATCAAGGTCATGAGTCAGTATTTGAGGGACCCGGGTTTGAAGGCAGACTTGCTACACTCCAGAGCCCAGGCATGTGTGGAGAAGCTCTGGGCATGGTCACTGCCTCCCCAGTGGGACATCTCACTGATGGGAGAGTTCCCCTTTCGGATTGACAGATCTCCTTTATTTTCTTTAAAACAAATTTTTTTTAAGTTTATTTTGAGAGAAAAGGACCGAGTGACCGCAATTAGGGTAGCAGTGGGGGGGGGGGCGTGGGGAGGGAGAATCCCATGCAGTCTCTGAGCCGTCAACATCAGCCGGGCTCAGTCTTAATCTCAGGAACCTGGAGATCATGACCTGAGCCGCAACCAAGAGTCTGGACCCTTAACCGACTCAGCCACCCAGGCGCCCTTCTGTGGATCTCCCTTAATTTGGAGGGGCGTTAGGACTCAATTTCTTTCTTAAAAAAAAAAAAACACAAAAAACAAAAAACAAAACAAAAGCAAAAGCAACAACGAAACAAAAACGAAGCCCTGCTGTCTCTCTGCAAAAGAAAATACTAGTAGCAATTCCTGGGAGTGAGCCAATGGCCCCCAAGGGTGGGAGTGCTCAGGTGCCCTTAGGCGCCCAGCTGAGAGAGGAGCAGGGTGAGCCCCGAGATTAGAAGCCCACTGAGTCCGGGCCTGTTTGCCCCTAATACAAGACATTGGGGCTCCCGGGGTGGAGACCCATCCAAAGCAACACTTCCTTCGGAAGAACCGCTGAGAGTGCCCTTGCCCCAGACCTCTGCTTTGGGAGGCAAGAAGAGACTTGGCCTTGGCCTTGGCCAGCGGGGAGTGTCTCCTTGGCTGCTGCGTGCCCGTTGGCACTAGCCAGCAGCACTTAGCACCCCCCATGCCTCTGGGCTATACCGCCTGAGAAATCCGTATTCAGTGGTGACACAAGTTAAAAAATGAAACAAACCCACACCGAACATTCACTAGCTGCTATCCACTGCCCCAACCTCAAACCCAATGCAATACTTCTTAATTGCTCCTTTTCCCCTGGTTAGTACCCCCCCCCAAAACAAGTGCTGCTTTAATTTTTTTAAGTGAAATGGAATCAGAGCGGGAAAAGAAAGGTTTGAGACAAAGCGAGAGAAATCGGTTTGCATCTCTTTCCCGCGTTATCCGTATTTATTCATCGTTTTCCGCAAACACCACCGAACACAAGGCCCAGACGCTGAAACAAGCAGCTGACCTGTTAGGTAATTTTAACATTTTAAATAAAAATAACCGGTTTTCAAACTCCCCAACCACATATGTTTTCATCCTTTCTAGAGATGCGGAAATCAAGGGACTCCTCGGAGTGTTTTCAAGGTGGGTGGGGCCAGGCTGCTTCCCTTTCCTGTTAACTAACGCCCTTCTGGGACTAGGAAGTAAATCCACATCCTAAATAGAAAGCTCCAAGTATCTTCAGCTGTAGTTCAGGGGCCATCTTCCTCCCCCAGTCCCTTGCTCTAGGCCCACCTCCATCCGCCCCTCCAGCCAAGCGCTGGACAGACTGCATGGACGGGACTCCTGCACCCTCACACCCAGCCACCCGCGCAGGATGTTCTGTTCTCTTCTTCGCAGGAAAGAGATGCAGATGGAAGGGGATGGATGAGCTGGTGAAGTATGTGGCTCTACTAAAAGGGTTTTGTAAAAGTAAGAGGAAGTTGGGGAGGAGGAAGAGGAAGAGGCGGAAGGATCATTCTAATCCACGGGCATCAATTTCACTGGGTCTTTGAAACCTTAGACATTTCCTTTCAATTATTTCTCAGCATTAAGGCGGAAGGCCAAGTAAAAGGCACTCCATCCAGCCTGCCTGCAGTGTGTTGGGCGCATTCCAACGTGTAGTTTCTGTTGTTGGTTTTTTTCCTTGAGCTGGTTTCTCTAAAGAGGTCCACGGTTCTGGAGCGCTAGGACTTGCCCAGCAGCGGCAGATGTCGCCAATCCAACAATGTCACCGGAAGGAAGAGGCCCCAGATATTACAGAAAGCCTCTCTTTTCTTCCGAAGGTCCGCCAGCATCTCCCCAAGGCGCCTCGGTGGGCACAGGCACCCGAGACCGGCAGTTCTCCCCTTCCACCCGGGGCGGCCCCCCTGGGTTCCGGATCCCTTCGAGCGGCCAGGGCTGGTGGTCCACACCCAGGGTCCTGCTGCCTCCCCCTTCTTTACCCAGAGGTCGAAGCCTCCCGGCAAGGAGGAGCCCCGTGTCTCACCGGGGTTCCCGCGGGCGCAGGGGCGCGACGCTGGAAGGCGGCGGCGACGCGCTGAGGCCGGGCGGCAGCCGGCCTTCGCGCGCGGCGGCGGGGACGGCGGGGACGGCGGGGACGGCGGGGACGGCGGGGGGCGGCGGCGCCAGCAGCTCCTCCCCCGAGGTCACGGCGCAGTCCTGCTCGGGCTCCGCGTCGTCGCCACCCCCGACCGCCGCCCCGCAGCTGCGCTTCTTGTCCTCCTCCTTTTTCCATTTCATGCGGCGGTTCTGGAACCAGATCTTGATGTGTCTCTCGGTCAAGTTCAGCATGACGGCCAGCTCCACCCTGCGCGGCCTCGAGATGTATTTGTTGAATAGAAACTCCTTCTCCAGCTCCAGCAGCTGCGCGCGGGTGTAGGCGGTGCGTGTCCGTTTGTTTTCTTCTGGCTCCGCAACGTAGGCGCCGCCTGTGGGCGACAGGGCACGTGAGAGTGGCCCACGACCCCGGCCCCACCCACGAAGCCCACACTTGAGCCCCAATCCCGGGAGCCCTGGTCCTCCTGCCCCCCCCGCCCCCCAGCCTCAGTCTGGAGCCCCAACTCCCATCCCGGAGCGCGGCTCCCGCGCCGTCTCCAGTACTGCCCTGGCCCTGGAGGTCCGAGGGGTGCGGGCTCTCAGGCTCTCTCTGGAGCCGGCGATGAACCTGGTTCTTCGGTGGGTTCCCTTGGCCAGTGTTTGGGTTGATGTCACTGAGTAAAACGCCCACGATAGTTATCTAAACCTACTCCATTCTACGAAGGCAATAAAATGCCTTTAATATAGGCCCTAGAAAACAACCCACGGCTTTCTGATGCTCCCCCCCTCGGTAAGAACACATTTCAGATCACTACCCACTTCACACACGGACCTAGAACGGACCCAGAAACATTTCAGGACATGAAACCCGTCAACCTTTATCACATATGCTATATTTAATTTTTCCTATTGTTTACTATTTTTTTAAAAAAGTTTCAGCCCAGTTCATTGATTTCATGGTCAACTTACAAGTCCAGCCTTCAGTGTGAAAAACCTTGAGCTCATAAAACCCCTGATCTTTTGACATATATTGTTATATATGACTATTATCTAATAGTAATATTGTTATAATCATTCCCAACGCAAGAGCAGGTAAATTCTACAATTGTTTTCACCTCTGCCAGGCCCTTGCCCTGGAGGTGAAGGGAAACCATTCTGGGGCCCCGAGGAACGTCCCTGTCAGCCTGGCCTCTGTGTTCTGGGCCCCAAATGCTGGGAAAGGTGAGGGGAGCCTCCGGGTCCCACTGGGAGGAGAGAACCTTCCAGTGGAAGGGGTAGCGGTGGAGTCAGACCTCCTGGTCCGGGCCCAGGGAAGCAGCCGCTGGCCCGCGGGCCGCTGTTGGCCGCTGGGCCCCAGGTCCTGAACTGTTCCTTTTTCTGCCAGATACCGACTGCACCCCCAGCCGCAAACTTCATCATAGCTGTTTTACGACGCGCTCTGGGAAGAGGCCTAACTCTGCTGGTCTTAGGGCAGAGGCTAGGATATTTCTCCTGTGACTGTTAGGAAGCCTTAGGGAATTGAAAACTCTAGTGTGTCTGCTTGGAGGGGAGAGGGTTTATTAGGTGAACTAGGCCCGCTGTCCCCCAGGCCAAAACCCAAGGCAGAGGTTTGGGCCGAGTCAGCAGAGAAGTCCTACCCCTTGGGGACTCTGGAAGCTTTCCTTGGGGTAGGAGAGAAGAGACGGGGTCTTAGAGGAACGTTTCAAAAAGCCGTCTGAGGTTCTAAATTCAATCCATAATCTCTGGGGGCCCTGGGCGTCTTCCCAGGGCTTCACCGAGGTGGCAGTGTCCACCACCCCAGGAGACCTATGCCCCGCCGGCTTGGCAGAGGATTCAGGCCGGTGGTGTTACTTGAGAAGATGTCAAGAGCCCCCCTCCCCTCCACCCCCCGCCGGGTCTGCGTCCTTTCCCTGAGGCTCAGGGAGAGCCTGCCAGCAAGGCTGATGCAATTCATTTTTCAGGTCGTTTTCACAAGTTCCTACAGTATTGTGATTAGTATTCACGTCTGTGCAACAGACGAAAACCCCTTTGGTCACTTTACTCGTCCCGGGCGTTTGAAACCCCACAGGAGCGGACAGGCCAGTTCACACCCCCTTGAAGCTCCGCTCCTTGAAGAGTTTCCGGGGAGCACCTCGAGGTCGCAGGGGCATCCCAAGGACAGCTTCCAGGCGAGGCGGGGGATCGGCCCCTTCTCCCCGGGCTGAGCGGGCAGCGGGTCAGAAGGTTCTGGCAAAACGCCTTTCCGGACTCTCCACCCCGCAGGGCGTCAGTTACCCTCGCAGGGTTTCCCTCCCCGCAGGGCAAGGCGGCCGATTCCCCGGAGCGCGTCGGTCCGGCTCCCAGGGTCAGCCCGAGCCCGGGCTCCCGCAGAGCGGGTGGCACCCTGGGGGTGTGTGTGTGGGGGGGGTTACCCCGCTTTAGAACGCCTCCTTCGGGACCTCGCTCCCCCCAGAAGCTGCAAGACCGGGCCGGGAATGTGGGGAACGCGCGTCCGTAGGTCCCACCTTGGTCGGAAGACGTGGTCCTCCCGCCTCCCAAGAATCGCGGGCCTCGGCGGCCGCCGCGCAAGTCCGCAGAGCGCCCCTGGGCCCGCGCGGCGCGGCGGGTGGGAGCGCTGCAGCCAGGTGGGCCCCGTCCTGCCCCCGACCCGCCGGGTCCTCGCCGCTCCGCCCTCGCGAAGAAGTGAATAAGGGAGAGGCGAGCCCCGGGGACCCCCGGCGAGCCCGGACCCCCACGGAGCTCCGCTGCGCCGCGCGGGGGCCTGCGTCTGGCACGGGGAGGGGCGGACGGGGCGCCAGCGCGAGCCTCCTTCCCCCTAACCCCCCCGGCCGCTGGGAGGAAAGGCGAAGTCAACTATGCGCGTGCAGGGGGGCCGGACGCGGTCACGGGGTGCAGCGGCGCGCTCCTGGCGGGAGGGGCGCGGGGGCTGCTCCGCGTCGTCGCCTCCGGGCTCCCCGGAAGACCCTTCCGTGACGCGCCGGGCGCCTAGGGGGCCGCGGGGACCCGGGGCTGGCGCCTCCCTGGCACAGTTGTGGCCAAGAGCGCATTCCTTCTTCAAATGTGCTTGCTGGGAAGCGGCGCGGCGGGACCTCCTTGGAACGTTTCTGTTTGTTCGGAAGTGAACTAGCATCGAAGACGCCCGCCTCCAGGCCGAGCGGCCCGGCCTCCGCCTTGCGGTGAGTCCCCCCTTCCCCTCCCCTCAGCTTTGCAGGCCTGAGTGCAGCTTGTGTTCCCCGCTTTCCTGCATCCCCTGAGTGCCCCCCACCCCGAGATCGCCTGTCACCTCTAATGACGCCTCCCCGATGGGCCCAAGGCCACCGGGGCCCAGGACTCCGAAGGCGCGCTCCGGGCCCGGGTCGGGAGCACCCCAGAGCCTGGCTCGGCCTCCTAGGCGCGCACGCCGTGCAGTCCCGGCCCAGTGGATCCCTCCGGGGGAGGAGGCTCCGAAGGGGTCCTAAGCCTGGGGCTCGGCCAGGCCTTGACTCTTTGGGGGGTGCAGGGTGCTGAAGTTCAGCGTCCAGGGAAGGAAGGGCTTAAGCCCCCAGGAGGAGCGCTGGGTGGAAAAGACGCTCCAAATGGGACCAGAAAGGCGCTTCGGTGCAGGATCGCCGCGTGGGCTCCCAGTGTGGTTTAGTCCGACCCCGGGTTGTCCGGAGCGGCTGGGAACGCGAAGCGGTAGAGGGTCCTGGGGAAGCCTTGAGGAAAGGGGCAGCTGGCACGAGAGGCGGTGAGGACTACGGGGGTGTGGGAGGCCAGACTTACCTGCCCAGTGGCCTTTCCACGCGTGAGCCTTGGTAGACTTCATCCACGGGAAGGGCAGCTGCACGCGGCCGGGCTCCTCCAGGGCGCCGGGCTCGGCGCCATCCGGGAAGGGCCCGGCGGGCGGGTGGGGGAGCGCGAGCTGAGCTGGGAGATGGTGGTGGAGGTGCGCCATCGCTGCGTCGTCGGCGAGAGGGGGCACCTCGTACGGGGAGATGTCCGGGGGGCTGCCCTGCTCCAGCGCGCCCAGGGGCCCCGGGAAGGGCGGCGGCGGCGGCGGCGGCGGCTGGCGGCCCATGTACAGGCACGCCGGGGGGCTGGCGCTGAACTCCGGCGCGGGGCCCCGCTGGTACGCGCAGGGGTCCTTGTACAGCTGCGTGGCTGCGAAGTACTGCTCCTCGCCGCCGTTCATGGCTGCGGCGCGGGGTCGGCGCTGGCGGCCCTCCCGCTCCCGGCGCCTCCCCTGCTGGCTTTGACAGCTCCGCTCCGCTCCGCGAGGGGACCCGCCACCCGCGGCGCCGGGCGGGCCGGGCGCCGCGCCATAGGCTCCGCCGCGCCCCACGTGGCTCAGCCTGGGGCCGTTATTGGCCTGGCCGACTGCTTTAAGAAGCGAGGCCCAGGTACCCCAGGGCACCTGCATTTGTTTCCATTTTCTCTCTCAGCTGAGTTTACCGCACACGCCCTGTACGCGCAGCCGGTCCTGCGGTCTAAAGCGGAGCCCTCGTGAAAGTGCTAGAGCTTAACGTTCAACCACAGAATGCATTTTCATCATATTTTGAGTGGCCTGTTTTCCTTCTGTTTGCTAATATACACAGCACATGAGTTCATTAATACAATTTATAAATATACATATACCGAGGTTGTGCATTTAAACTTTTTTTTTTTTAACGGTTAGGGAATGCGGTTTTTTTGGTTTTTTTTTTTTTTTTTTTTTTTTTTTTTTTAAAGCTTGCAAACACTAGCTCTGTAGGAAGCAGCTGGTCTTCTATCTTACTTGGGAAATTTGTAGCAAGATCACAATGATGTCAGTGAACTAACGCATAAAGACCCAGCGTTCGTTGTATGTTTTTACACTCGGGGGACTTCTGGAGAAGTCTGTAACTTCAGAAGTGATCACAGTGGTTTTTCATTTTATTTAATTGAAGGGCATTATTCATTTTGATCTGGGGAAATTGGGGTTCATTCGACCAGCTCAGTGCAGTTTCCTAATGCGGCCAGGGGGACAGGATTAGCGTCCGTCCTGTGGCTGGGAGGAGCGGACGGGCTTGGCACGGGTTTCCAGATCCCTGATGTCTTCCTACGGATCCTGAGACCCAGTCCCAGGAAGAAGGCCTGTACTCCTGCGTTGGACTGAAGTAAGGCTGTGCTTCAACAGAGGAGGGAAATGTTTAGAAAAGAATTAAAAGCTCTGCACTTTAATGACAGCGTCAGGCTGTGGCTTCCACTGGTTGGGCCATTTCTGGGTATTCTGGGGTCCTCACTTAGAGACGGTATTTTCCGACCGGATGAGGCGGACGGACTGTCTCCGGGTCGCGGTGGCGCGCAAGCCCTGGCCTGAGCATGACCAGCGCAGCCGACCCACTTGCCCCGGGCGTCCTGGGTGGGCTTGGACAGGTCCTACCTAAAGGACCCCTTTCCTCGAACCAACACGGAAGGTTTTAGAAACCTGGACACATTTGCAGAACAGCCTTGGCAAGAAGGAACGTGAACCGCAAGGACCCAGTAAGAGAAATCACTGCCATCTGACTTCCCTAAACCACAGACTGTAGCCAGCCGTTCACCAGGTAGATTTTAATGCGTTTTCTCCTTGTGGAAATACCTGTTTTAAATGCGTACGGATTGAATGCACTACTCAAATCAAAAAGCAAAAGCCAGTTGGGAATTTGGACTTCCCTGCAGATTCCGTGCAGCGCGCGATGCTGGTGCGGTGTCAGGAGCGCGTTCAAAAGGGAGCTGGGCCGGGGAGGTCGCGCCCGGCCGAGTTGGTGCCCCAGCTCTCCGGAAAGGGGGGGCTGGGGGCGGCCGGTGGGTGTGTGTTTGGGGGGGAGGTCTGGCCATTTCTTCAGGGAAAAGGGCCACCTGCGGGCCTAGGGCCGGGGAGGGTAAGGAGGTGGGACCCGCGCGCCTAATCTCTGCGCGTCCTCGTCAATAAAGTCCATTGTTCGCAGCGGCCGCGGAGGACCAGGCGCTATCACCGGCCGCGAGTGACCGCATCGATCAGCAAGCAGGCCCGAGGGGGGTGCCTGGCCGGGCGTGTTGACCCTCGGAGATAATCTGCCAAGCCGCCCAGGGTTGACTTGGCGACGCGGTTATGAGTGGCGGCAGCTCCGCTTGGGACAAAGATCGGCCACCTCCCCCTTCGTCTCCTCCTCCTCCACACCCTCTTCTCCTCTCCCCTCCTCCTCAGTTACCCCCTTTACTCCTGACTGAGTCCGCAGACCCCCCCTTCTCCTCCTCCCCTGCTCCCCGCCTCGCCTGCCACCCCCGACCCAGAGTGTTTATTTTGCACTTCTCGTCTAATTGCACATTTCTGTAAATTGGTCTCCATTTCGATGCTTCATTTGCTCACATTTGATATTTTTGCTCGGCCCTGCAGAAAGAAAAGAGGCGCTCAGCAGAAAGCAAACCCGTGCGTCGAGCTGCATGGCAACACACACACACACACACACACACACACACACACACCCCGGGAACCGGGGCTGAACAAAAACTTGCGGGGGTTGGGGGATGGGGTGGTGCTGAAGGTGATCAATGGAGGCGCCTGCTCGCTTTCACAATTAGCATTTTCTGCGGCTCGTGGCCCAGGAAACAAAAGTCCAACAGCCATTTCTTAGGGTGATTATTATTAGCTGGGACAAAGCTAACAGCGGTTTGGGATTGGCTACTTATGACGTCTCTATCATTATAACCCATATAGAAAACGCACCCCGCACAACCCTCCACGAGCACGAGCGCTGCTGTGTTTCTTCTGTGGCTATAGCTCGGGGTATCATAAAACCGCCAGGTCCATTACAGGTGAAATGCGTTTCCGCTCTGAATCCCCGCTGATCCCTGCGCCCCGGTCGCCTCGCACAGGCCCGGGGAGCGGGAGCGATACCGAGCCATTAGGCAAGCGCCTTCCCGAGCCATTTAACAGCAGCTCTTATGGATAAATAAACAAAAAAGGCTGTAAACCAATTATAGTGTGGACAGTGAAAAAGTCGTTTATTAGCAGGACGTCCTGATAGGCCCTCGCAGATAGTGGAGGTCCTCGCCTGCCTTCTTTCCCCTTTCCCTTCTGGAGATAGTTTGCGCCCTGAAGAACACAGCTTACCTTGTTCTTGGTCAGTAGCTGCCTCTTCTGAGCATGCCAACGGCTGAAACTGACTTGGTGATAAGAATTTTTAAGCCACTGTATTCTACTACTAAGGGGAAAAAAAAAATAATAGATGAACCTTGCTCGACTCCAGAGATGTGCCCATAATGAATGTGTGTGGGATTTAATGTATCAGGGCATATTTGTTTTTATAATGAACTTGCTGTTAAAAATAAAAATTAAACTATATCCCGAGTGGAAACGATAAAGCGAACGATGTGATTGATGTCTGTAATGAGAATACTCCTTCCATAACTTACTTGGAACTTTTGTACATTAGCCTTTACTTCGGGGAGTGCTTATGCTGGTTTTTATTCCTCCAGGGTGAATCCTTTTCCCTCCTCCTTCTACTCCAGGATTTCATCAGAGTCTGGTACCTGGGTCTGAGAGGGCCAAGGAAAACTTTGTTCAGAACAAAGAATCTCAGACTTTGAATCAAAGTTTGCCCCATGCATTCGTGGGGGCAAACCAGCAACCTGTAGAGTTGAAATTATTTCCCAGAAAATTCAGCACCAGTCCCCATGGTGTAGATAAGTGCAGCCTAAAAATGTAACTTAATAGGACAATTGTCTTGTTCTCTGCCTCTCTGGCTGCCCTTAGTGGGAGAGAGGAGTAGAAGGGAGCAGTATGGCAGACTCGATGCGCCCCAGGACTGTGGTCACCGCAGGCGACTTGGGGCTTTCTCCACCAGCCCTTTCCTCGAGTTTCTGTTTAATCCTTCAGAGGCCCCGGTTTACTTTGCAGCTGAAAGGAAAAGTGTGAAAGGAAGTTGGGACTCCAGAGCGTCCAAGCCCCCCCTTCTCTCCCCCCCATCCCCGTGGCCCACCCTTGCAGTTCCCAGCCTTCTGACTGGCTCTCCCCCAGGTTCCCACCTCACCCTACCATCTAAATATTCAGTCTCCCCAAACCCCAGCCCTTGCCTTCCTTCTCTTCTTCTCCTGGATAACCAGCTTTCTTGCTTTCATTGAAATCCCCCACCTTTTTTTTGCCCTCCGCCTCCCTCTCATCACTGTTTCCTGTGACTAATCCTTTGTTCTCCTGGGAACCTTTCCTTACCTCCAGGAGCCCAAAGGAGGCTTGACCCACATTTCCTGGTCATTCCAGCCTCCTTCCTGAACCATCCCGCCTTTCACATGGTTTATTAGTTAGAAGGACAAATCTTTTCCACAATATCTCTTAATCAAACAACTACCTAGCTTCTTATCTGTGCATGTCCGCAAACTCTTTGGGTCACAGAAACTCAATAGAAGTATGTTCTGGCTTTGCTGTACCATGGAAAATTTAAGGGCTGCATATACCCATCTTCCAGATTGGCCCCCCGCCCTGCACAAGCTGGGTGTTCCTTGGCAAGTTATGTAACTCTACTAAGCCTTTCTGTCCTTATTTGTAGAATAGGAACAAAGGAGTATCTCATAAAGTATATCCTTTGTATATAGTTATAATCACAGCAGGCACAGGGCGCCAGGTTCTGTTTCAAGTATTTTGCATATGTTAATCCTCACTAAAATCCCATGAGGGAAGTCCCATTATTCTCTCTCTCTCTTTTTTTTTTTTTTTCTGTGCAGGAAACTGACGCCTAGAGCCTGTCCAGAATCACACAGCCTAGATCCAAGCTGAGGAAGTCTGGCTTGAGAATGCATTCTCTTGGATGTGGCCCTCCACGGTGTTGTGATAGAGTTGACAATCAAGAAATTTAAAAAATTCTCTCTGTGAGAATTCGTCGAGGCAAAAGGTCTAATGTTCCTGGCTCTTCCGGGCACTGAACAAAATGCTCCTTCTTCTCTTTCTTTCTCCTCTAGCTTTGCTTTCAATGCATCTCCAGGTATTTAAGTATTGGTCATTACCGCATCCAAAAGATTGCAAAGCTGTTACGACGAGTCCGTGTTTAAGGACATGGTAGACCTAGAAAAGGTATATTCAGAAACACCTTGTGTTTTAAGGGAATATGCCCCAAAGTGGGGTCCTGCTTTAAGTGGGTAGGGGAGGTGGGGGAGCACCGGATGGCACTTGCTTCTGCTTGAGCTCTGAATACACCACGGAGAGAGAAACAAGTATGA